AAGATATATAATAAAAATTTTTATATTTAAATAAATTCTAATATCTAATAACTTAATTAAATAAGACAGAATTAAAAATTTTATTTTGAAAAAATAATTTATTAACATTTATTTGATGTATCAATCTTTTTGTACCAGACCATATCAAATTAATCTTTTTAATATTTTGAATAAAATTCATTTATAATAAATTTTATAGTTTTATTAATATTTATATAATATAAATTAATTATTTAAATTATTAAATAAAAAATCTAAATGAATTTTATTATTTATTTTTTTTATTTGATTATATAATAATTAATAGAATTATAAAATCAAGAAATTAATTTTATTAATAAAATATAATAAAAAAAAATTGATTCTCTCTATATTAAAGTTTATAATTTTAGTAATGGCTTTGTAATTAGAAAAAAATATATAATAAATTATAACTTATAAACTTTATTTTAATATAAAAAAATTATTTTTTAATAAAATTATAACTTTAATATATATAAAGAGAAAATTTCAATTTTTATTATAATAAAAGTTAATTTTTATTAAATACAACAATCTAATATAACTTATTTTTATCATTAATTATAATGTTTATTATTTAATAATTTTTATAACTTTCTTGTAAAAGTTGGATCTTTAAAAATAATATCTTTTCAATATTTGGAAAAAAATTATTAGTTATTCAAAATATTCAAAATTAGTATAAAAAAATAAAAATAAATAATTGATTTTTAATATTAAATAATAAATTTAAAGTGATTTTTAGATAAAAAAATTCAATTATTAAACTTATTATATATTGCAAATAATAAAAAAAATTATTAATTTTATATACATATGGTCTGGTGCAAAAAGATTGATATATTAAATAAATATTAATAAATTATTTTTTCAAAATAAAATTTTAATTCTGTCTTATTTAATTAAGTTATTAGATATTAGGATTTATTTGAATGTAAAAATTTTTATTATATATCTTTTATAAAAAAATTTTACTAATATAAACTTTTTGAATTATTATTTCTTAAATTTTATTATATAAAATTTGATTAAACTTAATATAAAATTATATAGTAAATAATTTAATTACTAAACTTTGAATCTTAATATCTTTATAACTGCTGATTCAATTTTTATGAAATTTAGAATATATATTTATCAAATCTAGAGCAACCCACTTTAGTTTAAGATTTTAATCTTGCAAATTGATAATGATAATATTTAAAATATCTTTTTTTTTTAAAAAAAAATAATTTTATTTTAGTTTTTTTAATAAAGTAATGCTTTATTTATTATTAATTAAAGTATAATAGAATAATTAAAATAGTATAAAAAGTTAATTTAGATTGTTCTTTACTTAATATAAAAAAATGTTAAAATTTGAATGATTTTTATTAGAAGCAATTATTGATTTTTATATTGGTGTACCAATCTTTTTGCACCGGCCCATATCGATATATATTAATTAAAAAGTTAAATATGGATTAAATTGTAATATATCAAGGTAAATCACTTGACTCCTAGAATAAATTTTCGCGTATCGCGTAACCATTTTTTTCCTCAAGAGTGCTATCTATCACTAAAACAAAGCAAATAAAAAGACATGAATAACACACGTTCAGTCTCCTCTTTACCACTAAACCCAAGCATTCGTTCTAAATTGATTAATGCTGGCTATCAGACTGTTAAAGACTTGAAAGAGACTACACCAATTGAACTAAGTAGAGGTGATCATAAATATCAAGCCTATTTACGTATATCATATTTACGTATTGACATTATTGATGAAATCCTTTACTTAAAAGAACTGGAGCTATCTACTGAAGAAGCTCTAGACATCCTTCAACACTGCCAAAAAAATCATGGTAAAGAAATACGCTTTTTCTTGGTTCCCAAATTGCGAAACTTGCAGCAAGAGATACTTTTCTGATGACTTTATAGCCATAATTAGATCTGTATCCGCGTCAGAAGCATTACAACGTGATCTGGATCGCTGTCCCATATTTACGTCTTGTGAAGCGATTGATAAGCTGTTCGGTGGTCATGGTGTGCCTACTGGAAAAATAACAGAGTTCTGTGGGGCTCCCGGCATTGGAAAGACACAACTTGGGTAGGTTGTCCTTTCCCTTTTTATATTACTTTATTTAAATATTAATAGTTATTTTTTTAAACATTAGAATACAACTATCTATTAATGTTCAAATACCAAAAAATTTATCTGGTCCTGGTGGTGAGGCGATCTATATTGGTAAATGTTCTTTTTATCGATTATCGTTGTAAAAAATGTATTAACCTTTTAGTTAATTAATTTCCGATCCTTTATTAATCAATCTTGAAGATACAGAAGGAAGTTTTATCGCTCAACGTGCACAAGAAATTGCCACCGCTACCGTGCAATCTCTCAGTGAAAAATCTCCCAATTCTACAGGTCTACTGTCGTTGATACTCCCATGTACTTTTCAATTTTGACTTAAATAATATCTATATCGTATATATAAAACACATAAATTAAAGAATCTGATAAACCCTTGGGAAAAAGAGCCATTGATAGATGTCGAGACTATTCTTTCTCGAATTCACTACTTTCGAATACACGATTATATTGAACTCTTGGCTGTGGTGAAAATCCTCGATGATTATCTAAAAGAGCACTCTAATGTACGTATGAGATTTACTTTATATTAATAATATTATCGCTTTATGTTTAATTCAGTTTATGTTTTAATTTTAGGTGAAATTAGTCGTAATAGATTCTATTGCTTTCCATTTTCGACAGAATTTTAGTGATATGGCGCTACGTACGAGATTATTGAATGGATTAGCACAAGATCTTACGAAACTTGCAGATTCTTTTGATCTTGCGGTGGTTTTTCTTTAAATCTTGTAAGTCTTTTATTAGTGATAAAGAGTTAGTCATGCTAATATCTATTTATATGTATATATGTACGTGTTAAGGTTGTGATTCTAAATCAGATGACCACGAAATTTGGTGTAAACAGCGGAACTATTCTAACCGATAAACCAGTCCTAGTTCCAGCACTAGGTTTTATAATAATTACATTTAATTAACATTTCTTTTTGATTAAACCAAGCTAACATTTTTTTACGAATGAAGGCGAGAGTTGGTCTCACCAATGCAATAATCGAGTCATACTTTATTGGAGAGATGATATCCGGTAAAAGTTTTATATTATTCTTCGGGTTCTTAATGAATACGTAATAACAAATTATATATAGATACGCGCATTTGGTTAAATCGTCGAATCTTCAAGAAGGAACTGTTCCATACAAAATCACAGTAAGAAATAATCTCACGTTAATTAATGTTCAGAATATTTTATCCAAACTAAAAACCTTTTGACAGTCTCAAGGTGTAAGAGATGTTCTGGAACCAGAGTACGTTCCATATGAAGAACCCCACGAATCAATTAATCTTAAAAGAACGCGAGAACAGTTTCAAGAGGAGGAACAAGAATTGAGTAAACGTCATTTGGTAGAAACAGAGTAATATTTTGCTATATAAGTTGGTTTTAATTTATAGCAAACTTTGGGTTTTACTTTCACTTTGAACATTCTAAGCGTAATTTGATGCATATTAGCTCATTATTTTGCCAGTTCTTACAAAGAAAAAAATATACAATATTGAATTTATAACGATAATATTGATTAATTAATAAATGATAATGGGAATCACGTGTTTACAAATAATAAAAATGATATTAAGCCACGTATCTCGACACCCAAACATCAATGAATAATTTGAATAAACACGCATTAAAGCAGGTCCAAGGTCTACAAAAAGATTTAGAGAAATTTGAAAAGGAAGAGGACCTTTCGGTTGGGCTCCAAGGTTAGATCAAATTGGAGAATGCCCTCGCATACTTTTACAAATTTTGTATATTGAGCACCGTTATTTAGTTCTTGGTTGGTTATTGTTATTAAGGAATGGCTCGTTTATACTATATTGAACAGGACAAATATCAGCTAGTCTTACTGCTTTAAAACGAACAATTGATGATTATGATGGACTTGCCAAGCGCGAAACAATAATTGTAAAGCAAGAAAAAGCACTGACGTATGTTTTTTTGATTCTTTTATTTTTCGGGTAAAACTTGGGCTGATTTTTTATGCGGTTATCGATTCATACATAGGAATGTTCTCAAATTGAGAGATGATTATAGCGAACTAAAGATGCGATTTGATAAGTTAAAGCAGCGCGAACAAAATCGGGTGAATATTCGCGCGAATAATGTTAGCTTTTGATTATATTCTTTAGTTAGCTGACTTTATTAATTAACGAATTAGGTGGCTCAGAATGATCGTGCCGAATTATTGGGAAGACGTCACAATACGACTACGGTAAGACAAAAAAGAGACAGCAAAAAAATAACATAATTTACCATGTAATTTCCAATTATTATATAGCCCGAATATCCATTTCAACATGATCTCACTCGAGAACAACATGCACTTCGTGAACACGGTTTTCTCAACGAGACCGAAACAAAACTTGATGAATTTATAGCACATGGGCGGGAAGTATTAAACAATATCTATGATCAGAATAATACTCTAAAGGTATCAATTCTCTCTCTATAAAGTAAATATCCCTTTTATGATTTATTGATGGGCAAAAAAAATTAATTCTAGAGTGCGCAACGAAGAATTCTCGATGCAGCAAATACACTTGGGTTATCACGTAACGTAATTCAGTATATTGAACGAAGATCAAGTCAAGATACATGGATATTTATAATAGGCTCGATATTCACTTTGTTCTGCATGTGGGCTATAGTTCATTATTTGACATAGCCCTAGGAACGATAGAAATTTACAACGAATCCCTCCTTAAATAGTATATTGTTATTTCTTAAAATTTTGTATAATAGTTTTAATATAGTTATATTAATATACGTATAGACATTATCTGGGAAGATGAGCTGAGACAGATACCGCCTTTTGCGGACTATAAGCAACATCAACTATTAATTTTTTTAACCTTAAAAATAGTGTCAAACTTTGATTAATGATGTAAATCCCGTTATTGTTAAATTAAAAAAACGTCGATGAAAGTCATTTAAAATTTAAAATTAAAAAAATAATTGACATTATTTTCATTAAAATTAATTTTTTAATTTTCGTATCATATTTTCGATTATGGCAAAAAACCTCGTATTATTGTAATTAATTTTGACATATCAAAAGATAAATACAAAATTTATCATATTGTGCTGTTTAAGATCTTTATATTCAACTGTTGAAGAATTAAATAAATGAATTGAAATTTTACATCAAGCAGTTTAATATACATTTTTGTATATAAAATCTAATATCATTACTAAAAATTATTGACAAAATCAATAGATATAAATTTCACTTTTGATTATTTATATTATCTTAAACTAGTAAAGCTTTTGGAAATTTAATAAACTTTTAATTTATTATAAGAATTTCAGAGCAAGTTTATATTAAAACTTAATATTCTTATTATAATATATCAGAATGATCTTATTTTATTTTGAATTAATATAAATTTTATATTATAAAATATAAATTCAATAGAGTCTGTAATTAGAAATTAAAATTTTCTAATTTAAAGAAATAATAAAATAATTAAGAAAAATATTTATATGATTTTGAAGTTTTATTTAAAAATTATTTTTATAATTTTTTCAATTTATTTAAGAATATCTTAGCAAAAATAAATATAATTATAAAATATATTATTCTTTATATTTGAATATTAAAAAATTTTGAAGTATTAATAATATAAATTTAGTTATTTAAAAATATAATTTCAAGTTTGAATTTTAAATATTGAATATAACTATTATTATAATATATATAATTTAATAAAAAATAAAATCTTTTTATAATTTATTTTATATTATAACTTTTAAATAAAATTATTTAGAAATTTGTTTTTAAAATTAATATATTTTTTATAAATTACAAATATAAATAAATTTTAAAAAAAAGAATCTGAATTAAACTTAATAAATTTTCTTTTTTTAAAAAATATCTAATAAATATTTATATTTTAATTAGTAAAGATTAATTAATTTTATATATAATTAAAATAATTCTCTTAAAAAAATCTAAAAAAAATACATTAAATGAAAAAATATATTAAAATAAATAATTCTAGTTTTATTTTAAGCTAGAAGTAAAAAATATTTATTAATAATTTTTAATATTATATTTTTAAAATATTAAGAGATTATTTATTATTTTTTTTAAAGTTTTTTAAGTTATGAAAAGTTTTTTTACTAATTAATTATTATTTTTGAGATTTTTAATATTATATATATTTAATATTATTATTTTTAAAAATATTTTTAAATTTATTATTAATTTTTAAAATAAAAAAAAATTTATTTAAAATAAAATATTAAATTATATTATAATTAATAATTTGATTTTATATAATTAATTATTTTATAATTATAATTTTTTATATTATAAAAATTTAAATTATATAAAAATTTAAATAAAAATTAAAATAATAATTTAATAATTTTATTATTAAGAATTTATAATAATTATATTTAAAAAAATTAAATATTAAATAATTAAAAAAGTTTAATATTAAATAAAATAAATTTAAATAAAATAAAATAATAATAAATTTTATATAAATATAATTTTAAACTATTATATTTTATAATTATAAATATTTGAATATCTAATATTTTATAAGTAATATTAATTAATAAAAAATACTTTTATAAAAAAAAAAGTAATTATATTATAAGAAAAATATTTTAAAATTATAAAATATAATATATTATACTAATTTTTACTATATAAATAAGTTGATAAATTAGTATAATATTTCAAATAATTTTAATAAACAAAAAAATAATAAATAAGTTTAAATAATATATAAGATAAAATATAATAAATAATTATTAAAAGTATTAATTAATTTTTTAAACTTAATTTATTTTAATTCTTATTTATTTTTTATTTTATTCAAATATTATATTATTTAAATTAGTAAATATTTAATAAATTTATATTTTCTTATTAAGATTAATTCTTAAATAATTTAAATTACTTATTCAAGATTTTTTAAAAAAATTATTAATAATTTAATTATATAAATATTTAAATAATATTTTGAACTAGTTTAAAAATTAATTTTATTTATTATATATAATTTAAAGAATCAAAATTAATTTATATTATATTAAATTGAATAATTAAAAATATAAATATAAATATGAAAGTAAAAATAACTTTATTTAAATAAACTTTTTTAAAATTTTTTTATTTTTTACTTTTCTTAATAATAATTTTAATTTTTTAAATATTTAAATATAATAAAGTTTTTTTAATAAGATAATTTTTAAAATATAATAATAAAAATTTTATATCAAGAATATTTAAAATAAAATTTTTTTAATTATATTTTATTAATAATCAAAAAATCAAAAATAAAATTATTTGATAAAATATAATATTTTAAAAAATTTATATGAATATTCTAAATAATAATAACAAAAAAGATTTCAAAAAATATAATTTTTAAGAAATAAACAACCAGGACAAGTTTTATAAAAATTCATATGTATCTGTCTTGTTTGGTGTTAGATGTTAGAACAGTCACATGAAATTATTAACACGTGACTGCAACCCGGATTTTTTGTGATACTGTTGGGATAGTTATTTTTTTCGAAAAAATAAAAAATATGCGAAAGATAGAACTCTCCAACGAGAGTGATGCCTCTTCTAATAAGAATACGTAAATTTTCAATCAGTCCGGCAAAACAAGAAAAAAAACGAAAAATTAAAAAATGCGAAAATAGAAACTATGCCAACAGGAGTTAGGGGTCATAATTCATCACGTGTTCAAACATCTCTTACTTTAAATAAAAAAATATTACGTAATATTTGTCACAGCCCTAAAAGCTGATCCATGCATTGCATTCATGCATTGTCTAGCTTTCAAAATTACATAATTAATTTGATCGTGTATCAGTTACCACAAAGAATGTGACGCGCCGCCTAGAGTTAAGAATCGATCTACCTACCTGTTGTCAAGATCCAGTGCACAGCAACCAATTAAAAATGGTGACAATGACATATATAATGGGTAATTCTGTAAAGATTAAAATACGGAAGAATTTTTATGGAATTTGGTAAGACAATTTGGGGGAGTGGAATTGGGGATTGTAATTCATGCAATTTCCTGTATATATTATCTTAATTACACAATTACGATGCCTTTATTTGGACTAAAGGGCCTAACCATTAATGACTACAGTAATTATCGAGGGGGGAGCTTTACAAGTCCTGAGAATGTGGTTTCACAATCGAAAATTATGAAATTAACGAAATTAGCATTATTACGGCACTGCTTATTTCTTTTGTGGTGACCCGGCTGACTTAAATTTTAATCCTTATCGTTATTGTGACTGTTGTGATGTTATTATTTCTCCATGGATTGGTTTCACACACCCTTTTTTTTTGAAAATCTAACGCTATTATTCTTCGATGTACATTATTGTAATCGCTGTATTATAATATATAATAAACATATTTGCAAGTTCAAAACACCTTCGTGTTCCTTGTTCACTAGATTTCTTTGTTCTTTCACTCTCGTTTTTTTTTTTTGCTTTCAAAATGCTCATTAAAGAATACAGAGTGGTTAATAACTGTACTCTTGAAGAATATCAAGCAAGTATTCAAAACGAGATGTCCAAGCGTGTCTCTGTTATTGAAAATGCAGTTACTATGAACTCTCATTCTCATTTTCTTCCATGCTGGGTTCGTGCGGTGCCTCAACTAATACTAGGTAGCTCAGTTGTATGCAGTAGCTCAAGCTTCAAAGGAAGAAACAGGCGGCGGAGAAGGTGTAGAAGTCTTAAAAAATGAACCATATGAGAATGAGAGTGGAAAAGGACAATACACTTATAAGATATATCATCTTTCTAGGTTCGTTTGCCATCAACATTTTGTTTGGTTTGACGAACGCTGATTATCTTGATTGAATCATTTAAGGTTGATTTTTTGATTTTTTTTTTTTTTTAGCAAAGTTCCATCTATTATAAGAGTCCTTGCACCGAGTGGTGCTCTAGAGTTATACGAGGAAGCTTGGAATGCGTATCCTCATTGCAAAACGGGTGAGATTCTTGTTCTTTTCTGAATCAGTTTTACGAATTATTATTCTATTTATAATTCTTTTTATTTTTTATCGTTGTTCAACAGTTTTGACGGTGAATAATACATCATTACTTCCTTAACAAAAAGTACATATATATATTAAAAAAAAATCAATCTACTAATCCTTTGAAATTTTTCTCAAAAGAATGGATACATGAAAGAGAACTTCAAATTGGTCACCGAAACTATGCATGTTGATAAAAGTGCCGGGGAAATAGAGAATGTAAATTTATTATTATCATTTTTTGGTTATTCCTAAAAAGAAATCATTCTAGACTCTCATCCACAAACAGGCGCTGAATGTATCACCAGAAATTCTTGAAAAGCGACAAGTAGTAATTATAGACGTTGCAAATGATCCAATCGAGCAAAAAGATTACAAAAAGGATCAGGACCCGAAATTATATCATTCCGAGAGAACTGGTCGAGGGCCCTTGACCGATAAAGATTGGATGGTAAAAGACAGAACTGATGATTGTATTATTTTCTTCGAATTTATATTTTTTATTGATTCGTCGTTATTTTAATTACGTAATAAAAAAAAAGCACAAAGTCACCCCGATAATGACTTGCTATAAATTAGTCACGGTGGAATTCAAGTGGTTTGGTCTTCAAAATAAAATTGAGGCTTTCATTCATAATGTGAGTATGCATGAATATCATTTTAAAAATTTGATTTATATCATTTATTTGACATGTGATCTTGAATTTTAAATATAATAGGCTATGCAAGCACTTTTCACAAAATTTCATCGACAGGTTTTCTGTTGGACTGATAAATGGTATGGCATGACGATGGAAGACATCCGTGCATTGGAAGATAAAACGAAACTAGAACTTGATGAAGTGAGAATTTTTATTTCTGGATGAAATTTTCGCTAAATTGGTGGATGTCTGACTCAATTTCTTGATTTTTACAATAATAGTCTCGCGTCCAACCTGTCCCCCAAAAGCAAGGAGAAACAACCCTACCAGAAGTTAAATCAGATTTCGAATGATGATAGTTAATAATTAAAAGGATGAATCCTACCCATCTGTTGAACCCATGGACTGGACCATTCGACGCTGGGTCATTTAGATATGGTAATGATGACGCTAACGTCGGTATTTTGATATTGATAAGCTAAATTATTCTCCAAAAATAATAAACTAACTTTATCTGTCTCTGAGTCATCGTAGTATGTGTAGCATCGTTCAATTTTACATGTTGGTTTAAATAAATTAATAAACTTCCTATTTATTTATTTGTATATATGTTATTCTTTCATCTTGCATCCAAAATATAAGGAGACCTGAGATTCGATTATTTTATTAGTCATTTAAAATCTAGGCATAGCAATTTTTTTCAATTAATAATATTAGTTAACACACAATCTACTCCTTCATGATGCTTGACCTCTACTATGAGCAATAGCAATAGTAATAACCAGGTAATCATAATAAAACAATAATACTAATAGTGACGTTAATCAATAACACCCACCCATCAAGCGGCGGTATGAAATCATTGGTAAATTACTCATAAAATTGAAGTGACCCTTCGCATCCTTCCCATTGTTTCATTCGTTCTGAAAGTTTTTTAGCTGCTTTTTTGGTAACGTTGAAATATCGTCCTCGATGTGCATGGCGAACTTTTCTTTTTGAGAACTCATAAGTTCCTTTTCCATTTGTATTCGTAACCTTTAGCATCTGAACACCACCATTACTATTATTGCTACTGTTATTATGATTATGATTATTTTCATTATTATGAGTATTATTATTATAATCATTATTTGTATCTCTGTAAGATGATGTTGATGCCCCTGCTTGATTTCCGAAATCAAGACGACTGTTATACTCGTCCTCATCGGAAAGCGACATAATTGTAGCCGCATCATCAGCATCAACATCATCTTCATTAATGGTTATTAAATTTTGTTGCTGTTTCTTATTCGACGATTGTGACGAAGATTGTTTTTCAATCATGAAATTACTAGGATGCGTGAATGCTTCTCTTGAATCAATATTTTCATTGCCATTGTTGATTCCAGAAATAGGGACTTCCTTCACTTTATGTTTCTCCTGTATTTGGTGTAAAAGTTGAGGAGGATTTTTTATCAAGAATGATTAGAGAAATCTCAAAAAATAACAGTACCTGTTCAAGTGAATCGGATAACGCCTTAGTAATGTCTCCCAAAGCATTGATAATGGATAATGGTTGCGAGTTAAGCTCACCCTTGACTAACCCCCCTTGAATTTCCTCGAGCAGATAACGCATAAATGATCTCGTGTCTAAATTCTGGATTTCTTGTATTCTTTGTTGTTGTTCTGTTGAAGAAAGAGTGGATCGAGAAGAGTGAGCTTGTGAACCGCTTGACGATGCATTTGCTTGGAATTCTTTTGTATTTACATCGACTAGAGGTACTTGTTTCCCTGAATGGGGACAAAGAAGATTCCCCTGAACATAAAAATGATAGAGTGGAAGAGAATAGGAAGGATTATTATCCATATTTTTGTAGCATTATAAAAAACGCGAGTAATGTATGTGATCAACCTAATAAACGCAAGTTCATAATTTTTAACTATAATCCGAAATTGAATTTATTAGAGGTTCCGTTAATTCCAAATATTGAATGATAATAGAGAAATTTGTTTTTTATTTTTCAATCGGACTGAAAAATTATTCACAATGCAAGATATAGTGCCTGATCGGGATCTATCAATCATCTATCAAACATCTATGAACTATTTTTAACGCGCGTTGACACACATCCACATTAGGTTCCAAGAATAAATTTATTTTCTTCAAAAAAAAAAAAAAAAAAAAAAAGGAAAATTCCTCCTTCATCCCATTCTTGTTTACCTCTGACCAAATGCATTCACACAAAAAAATCGCTCGTGAACAATTTGCGTAAATTGAAAAAATTCGCTTAATTTTTGTTTTCCGTTTGAACCTTTTAATATTAATCTCGTTGACCTCAAATGTCTTGACGGCACTATTACTCGATACGCGAGCACTAAAGAAGTCAAAAAGCAAAGTGCTAGCAAAGAAATATCACCGCACACAAAGATCCTGATGATAAAGAGGTTGAAGAAAAATATCTCATTGCAAGTTTTATATGAGATGTTAATTTATGATCAACTAATTGAATATATCCGGGCACGAACAAATTATTTGTGAACATGTATAAAATGGATGAAGTGTGTATTTGAAGACATATATATTACAAAATTGCGTTAGAATAATTTTTGATTATGATTTTTATGTAGTTTTAACTTAATTTCTAACTTTCCCATTGCATGCGTTCAACGATTGTCTCTGAGCTATCTTTTTTTGGTGGTTCTCCTTGTTCTTGTATCGAATTAGCAGAAGTTTGTGGTGTTGTCAATGTTATTTCGTCTTCCTCTTCTCTTCGAAGAGGGGTTTGTGATCTTGATAAAGAAATAATTTGTGCTCTTTCTTTATTATCGTTATTGTTACTACTATTGGTGGTGTTGTTTTTATTCCTTCTCGTTGAAATACTCCTTCTCGTTGTAATAGGTTCATGGCTTTTTTCTATTTTATTAGGTTGATATCCTTTTTCTAGGTCCAAGACACTATTAATACGTTTACTATTATCATTATTGTTGTTGACATTATTCTTTATACTACCGCTCAAATCCAAATCAATTTTATTGATTCGACGAGATCGTTTTTGTCTAACACGTCTCGTCTTCTCTATTTCTCCTATTCCACGACGATGATCGTGTCCATTCTCGTCATCTGAACCGTCTTCGAATGTGAATCGTGGTGTATCTCGACGCGATATTGAACTTGAAGCGTAGCTTCTTATTGTCATTGACACTATTGACACATTCGTCAATATTATGAATAGAAAAAAAATTATGATACCAAGACATATTGATGCATTGAGATATTATATTACGTACATTGTTGTCCGAATCCTTTTTTGAATGCTCGAAACACGAGAATGCCGTATATGAATGTGGCCTAATTAAATAACCGAATAATTATTACCAATTAACTCATTTACTAATATAAAAGACACAAATAACTTACCAAAATCATGAGTCCACATGTGAAAACTTTATTTTCCGACAAATACAGTTATTTTTTGTTTTAAAAAAAAGATTCGTAAAGGAAACCCTTTTCAATTTTTTAAAAAAAAAACTTACGTTGACATATACTATTCCGAAATTTCCCCCAAAAATTATATTGAAATTCGATTAATAAGAAATTTAACCCTTAAAAGAAAAGAATACAAAGCACTGCTATTATTAATACTCACAAAAAATACCAACTCTGATTATTGAACTGTGCCCACGGTTTAATCGGAGTCTGTATCATCCCAAGAATGAAAACAACAGGTACAACAGAGAAATACACTAAGAATATAGACATTAGCAATATGTTTTCTTTTTGTACCTATATATATATATATTTAAGAAAAAAAATATGAAAGATTAGTCAAATAGCTAGCATATAACATACACACGATCATTATGTCTATTAACAATTGATTTACCGCAAGAAATCCCAGAGTAGCGATTATCGGAAACAGAACCACCAACACAGTTAAGTAGATAGTGGTCGCAGTCGGATTCGCGTCCTCCAATTTATCCCAGTTCAAGTAACTTTCATAAGTATAGAAAATCCCGAATCCCCAAACAAAAAAGAAGTCCAATTTAACCAACAGATTAAACACCGAATAGTTCCTATACATTACTAGAAGAATATGATCAATACTTGATTTCTGATACCAAAAGATAAACCCGATTCTCACAAGAAATTTATTATTTGTACCTTGAAATTTTGAATCCGCGCCAGTTTGATGAAACCCATGCCACTCAAACTCTCTATACAGTTTGTACCCGAAATAAGTAAACACGGACACAAAGAACACCAAGATCGAGACGTGTGCTATACTATATTCTCTTGTTTTAAAGCCTATTTGGGTGTAGATATTGTAATCCGCCGCAGCTGACATTACCCTTGAGATAAAAATATTGTTTTCGATGATTTCGGTTACCGCGTATCCAGCCATTAAAAAATTAATGAGGAGTACAGTTACTAATTCGATATGATCACAATGATATACCTGTCATATGATCAAATGAAAATTAGAAAATCAAACCAAACATTCACCAAGAAAAGTTGAAACACTTACAACATCAAAGCAAAGTATACACAAGAACACGTCAAACGATATAATGAACGCATTTTCAATAACTAGTCGTTCACCTCGTTCCACGATAGTTTTCATCGGATCCAAATTGGTGAAATTATTTCCGACATCGCTACTGGACATTATAATGCGTTCTAAAATTTCCGTGTTTAACGCGGCAATTGATCTTGTATCGGCATCGTTAGCCTCCAATATTAAATATTGGATTGTGCAAACACATATCGCTTGCAAAACCGCGCATATTATGAAGTATCGCGACCAACGGTTTTCCGCAATACAAGTCGCCTATATGGTGAGAGTTTATACGCGTGTATGTAAAGAACAATATTGATTTAGTTTATTATGATTCATGTAATATCTACTATCTCTATATTTAGCATTCACGGAACACCACACATATACCCCGCATAGACTTTCCTCTGGCTCACGTGACCTCCAAAGAAGCGAGGAAAGAACTACTAATGGTCTTACTGCTGCTTACCAGTTTCTCAATAAATTCTTTGATAGAAATCGCCATTAAAAATAATTTCGTGCTTCGAGTTGGAAGTGTAAGCAATACACTAGTTGGAGGTAAGGAACTATAAAAGAACTTGCCAATAAACAGGCGTCAAAGAATAGGAAATCTAGGTAAACAGGCGAATAGGCAAATGAATAGGACAAAACGTAATATTTGCTTTCGATGCTAATGATGATGCTGTGATGTTAGATTTTTTGTTATCGTTATCGTTATTAACGTTTTAAAAAGCACCCATAATTAGTAAGTACATTAGTCAATCAAAAAAAAAGTCGCGCGGGCGTGATCGTGATTACTCTTCTTTTATTTTTTTGATAAATTTGGGTATTTGTTATTGAACAATGACACACAAGTTATTTGGTCAAATTCGGAAGGAATAATAAATAGTATATGATCCCGGGGTTCATTGCAAATTTCGTTCCTCTTCCTCCTGCTTCTCTTTAATGATAACAAATGACAACTGATACAACGTTTCAGTACACGGACGGCTGTGAACTAAGGCTACCTATATTGGAAAAGGGAACAAGCCTATCGTCTTCGTTTTCGCGTAAGAATAATAATAATAGTAATGTGCAGATCATTCGCGTTAAAAATAACCAACGCACCGCTAAATAAAACTGGATCCTTTATAAGTATGCAATTGATCAGAGATTTAATTGCTCTCTCTCTCTCTCTCTCCCCGTTATTAATCTCGATTTGACAGAGAACAGACCAAAAACTTAAAATTTTACTTAACCGAATTTAGTATCATTTTATAAGTTCACATACACACAAACAATATAAAATGTCATTGTTCCTGATTTTCTCAATGACGATATAATGATTTTTTTCAACGAAAAAAAATGTGCTTTACAATTTCCCACATCAAAAAAAAGGATAAAAACGACGTCAAAATACATGTGCGCAATCAGTAATTAATCCATTTTTGTCTTTTGTAAACTTGTCTATGACGAATATCGTCATCATCATTGGCAGATTTCTATACCGATGCATGATAATCGATGAATTTGTATCGCTCATCGATAATCGGAACGCATCGATATTTTCTAAATCTTATGTAGAATTTTTCCGGACCCCTGGACCTAAAGTCACAGCTATTATGTAATTTCGAAAAATCCCAAAAATAACGTATATTGTTCTCTTTCCCACAATAACCAGTTCAACATGAATAACGATAAATGAAATACATATAGCGCATAGTCTCTATTTCGAAGGGTCACCTACTTGTTGTACTTGACTTTTGGGCTCTTCCGATTACTGTATTTGTAATGAAACCTGA